CTAAGGACATCGAAAACCAAGGTTTCGGCATTGCATGCTGATTGGCAAGTGCATACTACTAAGGACAATGATGGACCTAAGGTACATGAAGGACTGGCATGCGCAGCTTTGTCATCGCTTTACTGTACAACTAAAGCCCAGCTAACGCTGAGGCCGGGTCCTAGTCCCGTGGTAGCAGCTGAGAGTAGAAGAGCGATGGCGACCTACGAAGAGCAGTTGGCCGATTTTTGGGGCCGCCAGCTTTGGGCGGCCGTCATCAGTCACGAGTCGATAGGCTTCCAAGAGTCGATTGACGAAGGAGAGTTGCGAGCACTTTTTCAGTACATGCCGGTGCAAGTGGCTGCTCACAACTGCTTTGAAACGGATCGATATCCTGGGCTCAACCGAGTGGCAGCACTGACGCAGTCTGGCATGTCGCAGCTAAAGCCCGATGAAAATCGAGGCCGAAAGCGGGTGCTCATCCTCCTCTCCGACTCTACGACTGTTTTCGTTGCTGGCAAGAGAACGAGGACGGACCTTTCCTCGGATTTGAAGGCAGCGAGCTCGGGGGTCTATCTGCAATACAGGGAGATAATTTACGAACCCCTGTGGGGCAAAACATTGTCCGAAATTCGGGAGAGGGCTCAGATCCTCTGTGACCAGACGGCTCTGCGCTACTCTGGCGACCAAGAGTTGCTGGTGGACGTGCAGATTGTCTGGATGGCGAATGAGATCGTCGGCAGATACGGGATATTTTGCAGCCCCGGCGTCCCGACGTGGTGGGACCATCAATCGCCCATAGAGGCCCGCGGAGATTGGCAAAAGATCTGTCGGAGAGTTTGCCAAAACCTTGAAGCGCTTGCAGACCTGCAGCGCCGTTCTCCATATGTGGGGTCCATTGTGATCTGCACAGGAATTCGCAGCTTCGTCTACGGGTTGCCAAAGCAGTTCGATGAATGCATTGCGCGATTCAAGGACGAAGCGGTCCGTAGAGGACTCGCCGCCTGTGACATCCACCCCTTCCTTGGAGATTTGGCGCTCTATAATGACAACGTCCATTTCCGCGAGGACAGCGAATCCCGCCGCAAGATGGTTTCGGGTTTAGCCCACATCATGCAGATCGAGATCGCCGAGCGCTACGCCTCCAGAGCCATAGCGAAAATGGGCGAAGCCGCCTTCCAATCACTGCTTGCTGAAAATTATTTTGATTCCCGTGGTCGCTACGCAGTGGATAACCATGTCCTGCAAGCGGCTCTTGCGAGGATGACGAGAAGCAAGCAGGTCAAAGCGGAGCCAACGGAGGAGGATCCGTGGGACGACGCATACTGGGAGGAGAAGCGTGACGAAAGTCACGCCGAACTGCCTGCGCCTGAGGTCCCCGACTTCCTCAAGGAGATGAAGATTCAGAATGTCATCAGCGTCGCGCCCGGTGTTTTCGCAACAGAAGAGGAGATCAATTCGCCGGAATGGAACAAAGCCCCACCTAAGGTGGAGGCCGTTACCCCGGCGAGTACTGCGGCTTCGTCTTCTGGCGATATTCGACCAATGCCGATCGACGCATCCATTTATGGTGGAGGCATTCTGTCTGGCGACTCTGGCACCGAGCACGCTGCAAAAAGAGCTCGCCTCGCAAAGGCTGAGGCCGACAAGCAGCGATTGACCAAGCTCGCAGTGCAGGGATCGCGCGGAATGAGGTTCATGAATGACACCTACGACTTCGCCGAGATGACTGGCATTACCCTGTATGATTACTGGAACGAATGCCCCTCGCAAGAGGAGGCCGACCAGTACATCGAAGTGTTCCAAAAAGACATGACGCCAGGCCTACACTACCCCAGATGTGACCACAAGATGGTCACATTTGTCACTGGACTGATCAGGGGCAACTTCGAAAACAAGGGTAATCAATTTAAAATGCGATCGTGGAGCGGGCCATGGGTACTAGCCATGGAAGTGCTTGAGGTTGCTAATCGATGCAGACCTGGAAGCGACATCGGTTTAGGAAGCCTCCTCGACATGATCGCCACCGACAACAAACAGCGCCTTATGTTTCGCGGACCAATGGACAGTGCTGCCGATGCAATTGGCCAACCGGCTTTTCCGGTCTACGTCGGTTGTACGCAAGGCCACTCCAGCAATCTGCAGCTCGACAATGCCTCTATTGCAAAGGCATATCTTACACTGCAGCGTTCTGAAGAGCTGGCTAATGCCGCCCGAGAGGGCAGGCCGTTGATCCCGATTGATAAGGCGCCGCCCAGACTCTATCATCGCACAACACATGATGCGGCGTATGCGATTCTGGAAGATCGTTTGTTGCCTGGTTTTGGAGGTTCTGAGAAGGCGCATTGTTATTTTGCGCCGCTGCCGCTCGAAGAGCAAAAGGCACGTTCAGGACTCCGTGCAAGCGCACCAATTGAGATCGTCTTTGACACCCGGGAGGTCCTCGAAGCTGGTTGCGACCTATTCCTTACGGAGTCTGATGGCATACTGTGCTCCGAGGCAGTGCCCGGCTCGACCATCTTGTTCATCAATGACACGCAACGCGATGTCGTACTTTGGTCCCGTGCGGGAGGCGCTGTCCCTCCTGATGAGGCGGAACAAGGTGAAAGCCCAGCTAACGCTGAGGCCGGCATCGATATCGTTCTTGATGAACCCGAGGCTGAGGAGACGACTCAGGACAATTTCGCACCGCCTATTGATGAAGAACATGGTACCCTTCCAGCTGAGGAAACATCCCTACCGCCCATTCCAGATGTCGCTGATGTGCTTGAGGGATCGTTGGCTATCACCGATGCCCCTGCAAAGGCTGACGACGATGAAGCTCCTGATGATGAGCAAATGCCCTCCGTAGAGGAGAGGCCGCTTGTTGAACCAGGCACCATCATTGCACAGCCGGGTCCTCCAATCAGGACTGTGTACATCGGTGACGGAATGGCGACAACGGTGACGCTGGATGCTGAGGGTACACCAGTTGAAGCAATCCAGGAGCCGGTGGGAAGGCCAGAACCAGTACTTTATGCTGGTAGTGAGACCAAGCCATCCGCCGCGTTTTTGGAGAAAATCAAATGCTACCACTGCAAAGCTGAGTGTCTTCAAGGCCAAAGGATTTGCTCTCAATGCGGAGGGCCAGTTCGACCAGGTCAATTGAAGGCACAGGGCAGACGGACGCTGTTGGCACGTGGGCGTGAAGCTCTGCTTCAGGAGATGGGTGATGCCGCTGAACGAGTGGGAGTGAGGCCAAGCCTTCAAAGCGCATCGAAAGATGTCGCCGGCCGTGGCATGAACTCCTTAGAAGGCGAGGTTATTCGGAAAGCCAAAGTGGCAAAGCAGAGAGCCGTGAAAAAGGGCTACACTGATTGCGTGGCGAGGTTCAATCATGACAATGAATACGCAATTTCAATGGCCAAAGAGGGATACACACGCAGAACGATCCGTGCCCTCGACTGCCTCTGCTTTGCCTACCTTCCGAACCCTGGCCGCACTCGATCGCAACGCATGCTGGCTATTGGATCCTCCAGAGCGGCGAGTTCCACGCACCAGACCCGCACGGACGAGGTTCCAGAGTGTCGTATCGTTTTCTTTACCGGAGACGATGGCATTGGCGGTAAGTTGTGCGCAGCGGGACTAACGTCCACGCCGGAGGATACGCCAGTAGCATTTACATGGTACGGAGCCATCCTTTCGTTCCAAGATTTCGCTCACAACATCGCCAGGCAAAAGGGGGGCATCCGTCTACAGACTTTTGGCCACGGCAAGGTGGATTTCCTCAACTACGATCCCGCTGCAGTGGGTACGGACCTGCAGACCGTTTTGGCAAAGGACCTACCCTTCATGGTGGAGACGGTTGATGAAACCATCAAAAAGGCCAATCAAAGTCGTGCTGCCCAGCCGAAGTATGCCCAGCAGCATCCGCCAGGTGGTGGCAAGGGCTCTACATATGCCCGAGCAGCAGAGAAGGGAAAAGGCAAAAGCCCGGCTAACGCCGAGGCCGCCGATCGCACCAACCGCGACTGGGACTGGGATAATCAATCCTGGTGGCAGAATTGGTCTTCGTCATCCTGGGGAACATGGAGCGGCCAGAACTGGGACAACCAGAACTGGCGTGAGTGGCGCAATCGCGGATGGCGTTGGAACTGATAAGCCGACCCAGTAGTCTGATTCTTTCGAGCAAGAGGGATGTTCACCCGGCCTATGATATTTTTCAAGTGGCTGTGCGGCGAACTCCTATCATCCTTGCTCCACGCTGAAACCAGCGTCTTGCATTTGAAGAAAAGCTTGCATGTAGTTTTTCGCACCCTTCCTCGAGGCACACGATAGTCACATGTACTTTTGCTGAACTGATGACGCGGGAGGCAACTCCACGCCGATCGTCAAACTCCGAGCCGAAGCGCTCTTCCACCTGCAGGCGAAGGTATGCTGTGTTTTTGGATGCAGTGACCGTGCCTTTAGGTGAGGGGGGTGTAGTTTTGCATCGCAGCTTGCGTAGGAGTTTGTATGGTCGTGTACAGTCATCATGTTGTGTATACTATACCGTGACGTTCGTGCCCAAGCCCTCTGAGTTAAAAGAGCCGTAGTCTCGCTCATGGCGTAACGGTTTTGGTGTATTCTATAATTTCGAGCGTAGCAGCAGGACGAGGCGGAGGAGGAAGGGAGAAGATAATGATGAAGAAGAAGATGATGAGGACGATGACGATGATGATGACGACGCTGATGATGATGCTCTTGCTGCGACGACGATGTTGATGATGATGAGGAGGAGGCTCATACCGATGATGAAGATGATGCTCACACCAGCGATGGTGATGATGACGGGCGGTGATGAGGAGGATCTGAGGAGCTGCGCGTTGGAAGGTTTCAGGGCTGCCAAGGTGCAAGGGTAATATAGGCGCCTTAATAATTAGAATAGGGTTTTGGGGCCCATCATACTATAGTTATATGAGGAACCCACAAAATAGTATAGGTAATAGGTAATTATTGAGGCCCCTATATTAGAGAGCCGGGTCCTTGATGCCAAAGCCCAGGCTTACCGCTCATTGTCCTCGGGACGATGGTCCTTTGGTTCGGATGGCCGCTCGATGTAATGTAGGAACCTGATTAAGAAACCCTGGCCCTATAGCCCCAATATAGTAGGATTCATATAAGGAACCCTAATAAAGGCCCAAGGTTTCTTAATCAGCTCCCTTTATGAACTGACTTGAACGAAAGGCCTCTCCTCTCAGGTTTCTCGCAGCCGATCACGGTTTTTCTGCAAGTTCCAGAAGCCTCTACATAGTTCTCAAATACCCCGCAGATGTTTGATATTTGTATTGGTTCTGATATCAAGGTAGGATTTGTCTGAAGCTTTAAAACCTTCATAACCTTCCGTACTGTGGTGTAAGGTCTCAGTACTCGAAATTTCGGATTTCCCCCCGGTCAACAAGTTGCAGATGATTCCAGTGTTGACCCCGAGCGGTGAAAGAGCAAATCGCAGACCGAGCCCTGAGCCCCAAATCCTATGTGGGCGTTTCCGAAATTAGGGGTACCATATTTAGGGGTCCATATAATAAGGATCCTACTTGGAAGGGCAGGGGACTTAGTAAGTAGGTTATAAGTAGGGTTATAATTGGGGTAGCTCCATTTAGGGTACTTATAACTCTACTTATAACCTACTTACTAAGTCCCCTGCCCTTCCAAGTATGTAACTTCAACATCCCTCAACCATAAACCCCAAAACATCCTAAAACCCTAGACCCGCAACCCCAAAACAAAGAAGCGCAAAACCCTAAATCCCCAAAACCCCAAACTCCCAAACCCTGAAGCGGACAACCCTGAACCCCAAAACCAGTCCCGAGGTAGCCATCGGAACCGGACAACCTAGCTTCAAACTTCGTTTTCGCATAGCTACCGTGGAGCCAGTGCTGGAAACTCAATCCTAAGCCCTAAGCCTTAAGCCTGAACTCGAAACATGCTTGGACATGAAGGACGGTGAGGGTTTAGGGAGCACGTGCTTGAGGTTTCGAGGTTGCCGTAAGAGAACTTCTACATCCGTTCTCTGAGTCGTTCTGTGAGTTGGCGTACTGCGCACAAAGGTCTGAAGCATCTGACATACCGTCCTAACGGGTCTAGCTAGATGCAGCTAGTAGTAGTAGTGGTTGTGGTAGTAGTAGTAGTAGTAGTAGTAGTAGTAGTAGTAGTAGTAGTAGTAGTAGTAGTAGTAGTAATAGTAGTAGCAGTGAGGTAGTCGTCGTCGTAGTAGTAGTAGCAGTAGTAGTAGTAGTAGTAGTAGTAGTAGTAGTAGTAGTAGTAGTAGTTCAATCGTCCTCTAAATGCAACGCGCGTATCCTTCCGAAGATTTTGCAACCTACAGAATGTGTATGACAGGTACGGCTTCAACTGTGGCTCCACCTTGGGTATGAGCACCTCGGCTGCCATGATTGTTCCAGCAACAAGAGCTTCGCCGTCCATTGCTGACAAAAGTTCTGGCTCTAGCGGCAAGCAACATCAAGCAACTGCTGCTGATACCACTCCCGCACCCACTGCCACTACCACTCCCAGTCCCACTGCCATTGCCGCTACCACTACCATGCCCACTACCTGCTACTGCTACTCCTTCTGCTTCTGCTACTACTGCTACCCGAACGGTGCTTAGTGGTCTGAAGCTGCATCATCCGAGGCCAGGACTGTGACGACCCCACAGTATGTGGCACGCGGAAGGTGTCAGGGGGCTTGGGACTGAATAATGTTTCTATTATGTGTATGTATATATATACATACATTATGCATAATATTACAGCATATGACATTACATATTATGGGGGCTTGGGACTGAATGTTGCGATGGGGCTCTTAAGGTTTGCCTATAGTCTCCATTGTAGCTCCTTTGTTTGGCTTTACCGTTTTTATAGTTAGGATCCTAAAAGGTAACCCCCTAAGGTCCCTGAATAATTATCTGGCTCATCGTGCTTTGAAAGCGTGAGGATTATCTGATGTTACTCTTTGTCTTAATCTGAGTCCTATCACGTCAATGACATCGTCATCGGTATGGATATTCGTATGTGGCATTGGTATTGGTATTGGTTGTTGTTTTTGTTAGCGTGAGTGCTATAGTGTTACTGTTATTGCTGCTGGTTTCATTTTATGTTCGGTCATGAATACTGTCATATGTGTTATTACCGCCTGCATTGCTATGATTGTGATTGTTTTGTCCGTTAGTGTTATTATACTACTACCATTATATGATTGCGTTCAACAGCATTGTAGCATTGTCACTATTCGCACCATTGTTATTGTTATCATTACTCTTTTTGTGACAAGTATGTCAGCAACTATTATTATGACTGCTACTACTATGACCACTCTTGTTGGTACTGCTATAACTGTATGGCCCAAGAACTGTTCATGACCCGGCCGGTTCAGTTTAGGGTTTGCGGGGCGTAGTGTTTAGGGTTTAGATCCCTGCCGTCTGATTGGATGGGGCCTTATGCTGCAAGGTAATGAGTTCCTTTAAACTAATTTTCATAAATACAAACATATGTATATATATATATATGCATATGTATGTATGTACAAATCGCTCGCTCTCTCTCTCTCTCTCTCTCTCTCTCTCTCTCTCTCTCTCTCTCTCTTTCTCCCCTCTATAGATATATACATATATATATATATCTACATTTATTAATTGATACATTTGTGTGTGTGTGTGTGTGCTCTTTGTGACTTCGTGCCGCTATCGTATCCGCATGTTGCTGCCTCTCCGAGAACCCGGCTTATGGAGCATGGGTAGTTCAACCACAACAATCAGGCTAAATTATTTCGTGCCAGAGAACTCTGCAGTACTTGTATTGTTCAGTGCGGAATGTCCGCACTATGAGTGACTATGACATGATGCAATATCCTTCTCAAGACAAACATATCTGAATGCACCATATTGAGCGCCAAAACCTACGGCGCTGACACAGTTGAGCAAAGCTTCCTAACCGGTAGAGCCGATCCCTTGTGGAACGTTATAGGAACCGTTGAGGGGAGCCTTATCACTTCAAGCAGTCGTATAATTTCATAGTACTAGCTCTGCGTGTGTATATATATATATATATATATATGTATAGATGTATACATTTATGTTACGTAATATATCAAAATTAGAAATATCTAATATGTACTATATAATATACCATGTAAAACATAAGCGTACCGTACATAAATGTAGTACATACTAGGTAGTATATACTGCATAATTACTTTATCCTTTTCCGCCATGTCCAGCAGGCATCGATCGAGCGTGGCTTCATGGCGGCCCAGGCATCCCTTAAGCCGCCAGGGTTTAGGGACTAGGGGTTTAGGGTTTAGGGATTTGTGGTTTAGGGATTTGGGGTTTAGGGACTAGGGGCTTAGGGTTTAGGGGGTTTAGGGACTGGGGTTTGATGCCAGCTACAAGTCGGTTCTGTCGGATCCAAGTTTCTAGGTCTTGGAAGACTCACAACAAGATGGGCGCGTAAAGGCGTTTATGAGATTCACGTGCCTTGCGGGTGTTCATGGCCGCCCAGGCATAATCTACCCTATACTCTCCCAAATAGTAACCTACATAGCTAGTTTCCGAAACCTAAGTACCCAATTACTGGGTCCTTTGGACCCCTAGGGCTAGACCCATGATTTTAAGAACCCCGAGCTGAGGGTTTTCATGGGGACTTGCAAAGTTGCGGCGCTTAAGGAAGGGGGTTCTGCTAGTGAGGGGTCTGCATCCGTGTGCTCTTGACACGTCGGGTTTGCGGCTGAGGATTGTTGAGGCATCGAGGTTTTGCTGTCTTAGGGTTCCAAGCGTTTAGGGTTTAAGGTTTAGGTCTTTAGAGTGAAAGATTTGGTGCTTGCGAGGTGCAAAGGTCTATAGGGCTTTCAGGGTTTAGTGTCTGGGTCTTATGGCCCCAATACTTCGCACAGTGTTCGGGCTTTGAGCCCATGTCTTGAAGCTTGAATGGCTCATTGCTGCAGGTTGGGGTTTAAGGCTCAGGGCTGGAGGGTGAGGGTTTCAGGTTTTGCGGCTGTAGGGTTTGAGGAGTGTGCGGGGTGAGGCATGGAGGTGTTGAGGTTACATATGGTGTTGCGGTTCAGAGTTACAGGGTTTCGGCAGAATCTAGTGTGACAGACATTGACGGCTCGTGGAGTCAGAGTCTAAAGCTTTGGCGTTCGATTTTTTCGGAGAGGACTCTGGGTGTTGCCTTGCTTATGTCCTTTTCTTGCACGGTGTGTGGAAGACCGAGAGGATATATTTCAGCTACAGGGAAGCATACACCTTATCAGGTACCCTAAACCCCTAAACCCCTAACCCCTAAACCCTCAACCCCTAAACCCCCGAACCTTAAAACACCAACCCCTAAACCCCTAAACCCTAAACCCCTAAGCCTCTAACCTTAAACCTTAAACCTACGGCAGGCCTAACTGAGAGCCTGGGGTCTTCGAGCTCGAAAGGAGGGCTAAGAGCCCAGCGCCAGGGCCGAAGCCAAGTCTTGAAGCCTGGATCCCGAAGCTTGCATAGCCGCCCCCTAGTTTCTATCCAAAATACCCACTGATAAGGAACGTAATATACATATATATATATATATATATATATATATATATATACATAGGTAAACATAATGCAAATATACACATATATATATATATATATATATACACATCTATTTGGGATTTAGGGCCTATGTAGATGGTAGGCCCCGTGAGGTTGCTATGAACACCACCGTTGCTGCGGCTGTGGGTGGCATCACTGTATTCTTGTGCCGCCTAGGGACGTCAAAGAAGTATGAGGCTTGGCAAGAGAAGAGGAGGGTTCTGGGGTTTAGGGTCTAGGGCACTGTAGCTTTCAGGTTGAAGGTTTGGTAGGACTCTCTAACTATACGGGTTCATTCTTGCTCAGGGATGCAGGCGTATTGGTTTTGTGCTGAGGATGTGGATATCTTAACAAGACTTATGTAAGACGATGTTCTGTTTCCGGACTTGTGTGTTGATGTTTCAGTCGGTGTTTGTGCCGTCTATGTGTCTTTCTGTGCGTTAGAGAGAGAGCGAGAGAGAGAGAGAGAGAGAGAGAGAGAGAGAGAGAGAGAGAGAGAGAGAGAGAGAAAAAAAAAGAGGTAGAAAGAGGGAGAAACTTATCACATGCCCATATAGCGGCACGGGTATGAGGCAATCTCCTGTCTGCACCATTTGGCGTCTTGTGAATATGATTGCTAAACCCTCAACCCTGAACTCTAAACCCAATGCCGATTAGCCCGAAAGCCCGCCGAGCTCCGAGGACATTGCAGGTTTCTGCAATGGCATCCTAGCTGGTCTCGTCTCTATCACCGCCGGATGTAGCCCGAAGTGCAACAAGTTTCGTTTTTCGGGATCATGGCATCCGACCATCGCTGTTTCGGGTCTCTCTGGGTTTGCATAGACTTGGGGGTTGAGGCAGTCGCCTTCCACGATTCCACACCGGAAGCTCTAATGCAAGACCTTCACGTCACGATGTGTCTTGGGGCTTGAGAATGGGATTGCACTCTGGGGTCGACCTTATGAGCAAAAGGGGATGAAACAAAGCCTTTCAAGCCCTACACCCTGAGCCTGAATCACTTGGAGATAAAACAAAGACTCAACCCAGAAACCTTGGCAGCTCCGTCAGGGAAGCCTTTGGCTTTCGAGAAATGCCCGTAGACCGAAACCCTCAAAGCCACAAAATCTAGCCTTGAAGCCCAGACCCTACAGCCCCACCTTCCGGCTTCGAAATCACACGGGAGACGTCCGGACTCTGGGAGCCTATGAGTTAAGGCCAGAAATCCGTACAACATAGCCCTAAACCCTCAACACAAAACCCCTGAACTCTGAGCCCTAAGGTTAAATCCCTAAACCTCTAAACCCCAAACCCTGAAACCCTAAAACAGATCGCCCTAAGTCCGTCAAGCCTAAAGCCCCGAAGATCCTGAAGGGCCGGAATATGTATCAGTCACGTTTTCGTATAGCCCCAAGTCATTACCGAGCTTTGGAGTACTATACTTTAGTACTCTTCTCTTCAAGGAGCCATTATGAAATAAACGTCTATACTTTTTGTAGTTGGTTAAACTAAAAGCCCAGTAACAGTACAAGATGCGCCTCCCCCTTGCCCGCCCCCACCCAAATACATTTTCGAATGATTCAGTAAGGGCTCAGTAGTAAACCGACCGACCAGGTGGCAATGTCGAGTGTGGCAGCTCTTTCATGATCGCTGTCGTGGGCCACGTAGACTTGAAGTTAGCAGCATGTGCGGGCAGTATCGGAAGTTGTTTTTGTTTGCTTTTTGTTGGAGTGTCCGTGCTACAGGACCGTTTTTTTGCGGCAGATCAGGATTTTGTTTCTGAGTGGTGTCATACTATTGGCCCGGTGACCCAAGCGTCGTGTGGCATCTCTAAGCCCTATGCCCCCTCTGCCCTAAACCCAGAGATTCCAATATCCCTTAATTAAGGAATATACCTTAAATTATAGTAGGATCCTTATGAATTCCTTACTTAAGGGATATTGGAGTCTCTGGGAACCCCAACAAGGTTCATGATCTGGCCGACCTGGGCTTTCGGCTTGGGGGCTAAGAAGGGCGATCTGGGATCAAGACTCCACAGGAATCCTAAGGGTTTAGGGTTTCGGGATTAGGGTTTCGGGATGTATAAGTTTCAGAATTTAGGGTTGAAGGTTCCTTTAGGGTCTGCGGTTCTGGAGGGTTTCTATGAGAAGGGTACAGGGGTCATCCGAGGTGGCATTGTCTACGAAGTCTCCTCACGCCTCGTGAAGAAAATGAAGGCCATCGGCAGCAATCCCCACTAAGCTCGAACCCGAAAGGGTCAACATTACCACAAATGAACTGCGCTTGCGAAGGCAGTAACAGTAACATAGCTCAGTATCTGGAAGAGTGCCTTATTGTAGTGTAGGAAGGTAACCCCCTTGTTCTATATAGCCTCAAGATATTGGGATCCACATGAAGAGCCCTAAACAGGTTCAGGGGTTTCTGAATCACCTTCTTCTAGTACTGTACTTGCATGATCTTCAGACGCGCTGGGCAACCAGCATGAATGCCCCCAAGCTGGAAGAAGAAACAGGGACTCAGGCAAGAAGTTCTTGTGAAGCAATCAGAAGAGCACTTGCTCCTAAGCTGGAAGATTCCGGAAAAACAGATGCAAAAGCGGTTTAATTAACGAAGCAGAGAGCACGCATGCCCTGCAATTGGAAGCAGCGAACAAGACCATGCTCAGAAGCCCGCACATGCATGCACACACACACACACACAGACAGATAAACTGCGTGGTTCGTGTGATTGAATCTTTCGATCCCAACGGCTGGTTCTAGGTGAACCTCAGTGTTAGGTCGGTCCTGCATCAGGCCTCCTCCGAGTCATGTACTCCCTTGCAGACGCTGCAGATGGGATGCGAAACCGCTTCAATCAAGACGCTTGAAATCGGCGGTTATCTGAAATCCGTCGAAACCCAAACCAGACAACAACAACCGCGAAATCAAGTCTTGCCGGCTCAGCAAGGGCCTGGCTATCCACACGATCGCAGAGAACGTGGACCGTATTCACTGGTGGTATTTTTCGAGTTGAACACGCACACACAGAAAAAACCAAAACAAAAGCAACATATATATATATATATATATATATACACGTACATACGTACGTACAAACGAACAAGCAAACAAGCAAATGTACGAAGGCACACACCACCACACCAGAGCCACCACAACCGCCGCCACCACCACCGCCACCACCACCACCACCCCACCAGCAGCAGCAGCAGCAGCACCTCCACCAGAACCAACGGCAGAACGCTTCGCTAAGTAGAAGTTGGACTTAATCCGAAAAGCTGTGCAACTACGCCGGTAATCGAAGCAGACAATCGCGCATTGGAAGGGCGGCTTAATCCTAGATTTTAACCCCCGGAACCCCAGTCTCCAGGCCCCTGAAAACCCTAAACACTAAACCCTAAACCCTGAACCACACAACCATAAACAGGTTGATGACCCCATCGATGCGTTTGCCGTCCACGGGGCACCAGGCCAGAAGCATCAACTGTATAAGGTGCCTGAACTACGATTAGATATTAGTAGTCGTGTCCCTTCGTAGTCTCTATATAATCCTGTATACTGGTAGGCCAACGTACCCTTAAAGCCCTGTTCTAATCAGAAATGCAAGCACTAATATACCATGGAATGTTTACAGAACCAGTCTAGCAACCCTTATAGACCCCTTGAAATAACCCTTGAAGGGATCCAGTTCGAGTTATTGGGTGTGTGAGTTGGGGTTGTGGATTTTGTGCTCGGGTCTTAGTGGCTGCGGGTTGAGGGGTTTAGGGTTGGGGGGGTTTTGGAGTTAGGGTTTAGGGTTGAGGGATGTTGGAGTTTCGGTTGGATTGGCTGTTGGAGCTTTAGAATTTCAGGGCTGAGCTTGCAGGTTATAGGAGGCTCATTGTGGGTTGGGGTGTAGGCTTTGGATTTTAGGAGTGGGTCTTGTCTTCAATTAGGCTCCAGGCTGTTCGGATGTTCAGGGCTTCCCTCTTTGGGCCGAATGCAGGGGTGTCGGCTGCAGGAGGTGCAAGACGTTGTGAGATCAAACCCTAAACCCCTAAACCCCTAAACCCTAAAACCCTAAACTTTGGGCTTCAGCCAGTCTGAAGCTTTTGCCTTGAGGTGTTGTTTCCCGCTGTGATTGTGTGGGCCAAAAGACTCGGATGACTCCAAACTGTAGGCCCGACTTTGGGATGTTTCCGAGTTCGGGATCTCTTGGTTTGCGCCACTGGCTGGAGTTCGGGGCGCAGGGTAGATAGCCTGCTGGAAGGTTCAGGGCTTCAGGTTTCCGGCATCAGAGGTCGATGGCATCAGGGTAGTTTAGGCCTTGGGATATATATGGTTGATGATATAAATCCTGCTTTACCTTAAGGTCCCTAAACTATGGGAATTATGGTAGTTGAGGATTTGGGGCTTGTGCCTGTGCTGAGATTTCTTGCTTTAAGGTTCACGGGAGTGGAGGATGCCGGGAACCCCATCTGCAGATCTGAAGAACAGCCATAGTTGTAGAGGAGGTAGCCCTTAAGCTTTTGGAGGTTCTATGACGCCTATACATATACGTTCCCAAAGATTAGCCTTTAGTTCGGCGAGGATACTAGACAAGTCATCCTTCTTGTGTCAGGCATGTGGGGAACGCTCGCAGCAGCAATCTTTGACTGGGGGAGTCTCAGCAGCATTGGTGGGTTGCATTCATTGAGCATGACTTGGATTTTCTATATACCTGGCTTGGATTTCGGCAAGGTTTGGCGCAAGTCACGAAGCTTTTAAGCCCCAAGCCCCAGGCCTGAAGCCCTAGCCTCCAGCCATTTGTTCGGGGGGTGTAGATAAGATGTTATGTCCATGCAACAAAATTTTCCTGTGATTTATTAGGTCCCCTGGTCCTGTGACATGCCGTCCTTGTAAATTCAAGGAGCCTTCCAAGTGCAGACATAGGGCACGCCGGGAGGATCGTGGGGCTTGAGGCTGAAATCCTAATTTAAAACTTATCCCATTGGGGTCATCACAGCTCGCCGTCAGGATGCTGCGGACTACACCATATCTTGTTTTCTAAACCCTAGCCCTAGACTCGACGACTTCCGTTTCAGGGTTGAGGCCCAGACCCTTAATTTTTTCAAGTGAGACGATGATCTTGACAGTTCCTTCGCTCTCTCGACACGATCGCCACCTGGTTGCTGCTGTAGGATGATTCATACCAGTATCAGAGTTTCAGAAATACCAAGGAACAGTCAAGACCAAATTCACCGAGTTGGCACTTCAAAGCACCCTAATGATTCCGCGCGGATGATTGTACTGATAGGAGCCATGGGACTATGATGTTGATGCTTGTGTCGTATTAACGATGTTGACGACCCGCGCTCCTGCAGCACCGCCACTACCATCACCTAATATAGAGGCTTAAATAATTACCTGTATTGTTTTGGGGTTCCTTATTATAACTATAGTATCATGGGCCCCGAAACCCTATTCTAAACAGAAGGCCCCTACATTACAACATCAGCGCCCCAAGCACGGCAGCAGCACCAAGACAACGGAGCCACTGTTTTGAAGAGGGACACCCCTAGACCCACAACCTAAACTAAGCCATATGTTCTTCTCCTTGTGAGTTTGTCATCCGTGCTGCAGCTCCCTGCTAACCGGCAAGGAGAAGCATGGACCAGTATCACGGCTGGAGCGGATTTTCCTGCTTCCTGTCGAAACTCTCAGGTTCCAATGCGGTTCTACAGTTTTTTGGGATCGTATGAGGGCTCTGCACGGGTTAAGTTTTGCAATTTCGGGTTTAGCGTTTCGAAGGCCTACGTAATATGTTCTTTTGACATCCCTAGTTCTTGGCTTGGGCCGGAGAGTCACACAGGGGCCCACACAGCCTCCGAAGGAGTGTTTATTTGAATAATTGTTTGTCGATGATTGAATGGTTCTCTCAAGCTTCTGAGTGCTTCGCGTCGACAACTAGCTACATGGGCGCTCATCGATTTGGTGTGTCGTGAGTGTTATACGGAATTTAGAAAGTTTGGGGCACCTTGTTTCGGGAAGTGGCCCACTATTCACGGTTCTATTTTAGGACATGTTGTGCTTCGGCCCTGATCATTTATCCCAATTCTCCGAGCCCCCATATCTTCAAACAGGACCAAGGTTGGGGCTTCTTTCCGTTCGATTACTTCAAAGCCTTGGAGTTTGGGGAATCGGGGCTCATTGCTTTTGGAGGATTTGGGTTTTTGGTCTTGAAGTTTGGGCTTAGAAGAAACGCGGAACTTGCTGACGTCTGTGTTTGTCACTGGGCTGCCTGGTGCTCAACATGCGAAACACTGCAGTTCTTTTTTGGCTTACCAACTTTATGGTTAGGATCCTTTGCTATAAATGTGGCTAACCAAGAAAAGGAACTACGAAGGAGACTATAGGCACTTCGACACCAGTGCAGGAGTTTGGATGCAGACAGTCATACAGCCCAAGCTTCAAAAGAGGTGATGTAGAGGTTTGATCAGTGTAGAACATCCTCCCCGGAGAGGCCGTATGTACTTTTTGCACGATAGTGCCACCAAAACTAATCCTATGCTACCTTGTTCAGGACCACATTATTACAAGTACGTGAGGTTGGCATATTGATTCGTGTCAGTTTCGGTCAGCATGCTGCAGTCCAAGGGTGATTGGCAGATTGGGGACCCCAGAGCCTGTAATAATACCGGAGTATAGGGGCCTGAGGCCTGAATCGTTTAACAACGCTTTGGGGTACATCATGCTATGCTGATATGAGGGGCCTATTGGGGGATGTCAGTGATGACATCAGTGATGACTCCGTTAATTTCTAAATCCGGAAAACCCATCGAAGTAACGCGCTTTGATTTAAAGCCGTTTAACTCCCAAACCTTGAAGCCCAAAGTCTACATATAATATCCATGCGCTCCTAATAGAAAGCCTTGACCAAAATCCTTCCCGCTCAGACTCCCAGCCCTTACGCCCCAAGCTTTCTGAGGCGTCGCCGGCGAGGACGGCGAATGCCTCCAAGGGGCTGGGGCTGATGGGATTGGTGCCAATGTCCTTCAGATTGTGCCGAAGCCGAAGAAGTCAGAGGGCCTTCGGGGTATCCTGGGCTGTTTGGACTACCCTAAGGCCCCAAAGTAGTTCCTTTTTGGGGTTCATATATAGAATTCTATAGGGAAATCCCAAAATAAGGAACTACTTTGGGGCCTATGGGTAAGCCCTAGAAGCTTCTTACGGTTTCTTTGTGTTTTGGGGCTTCCGGGTCTTGTGGGGCTTGCGGATTGAGATTACTTGGAAGGGCAGGGGACTTAGTAAGTAGGTGATAAGTAGAGTTATAAGTACCCTAAATGGAGTTACCCCAATTATAACCCTACTTATAACCTACTTACTAAGTCCCCTGCCCTTCCAAGTAGGGTTTAAGAGCCTGAGGCTTTGACGGGCTTTTCGGGCTTTGCAGTCTGGGGCCTGCGGACTCATGAGAGCATTGGGCTTGGCTTTTCGATTAAATACGTGTTTGGGTTTTGGTTTCGGGGGCTTTTGAGTTGTAGACTTTATTGGCTTTAGGGGTCGGGGACTTTAGGATCTGCGTTTTAACGTGAGGGTCTTATGTTGAGGGTCTTATGTTGTAGAACTGCTGCGCCTCTGATGGTGGACGGCACCGGGATTGGTGGAAGTTGGGTTTAGGGTTGATTTGGGAAGTATGTGCACTCTGTGGTGAAAGTCATCCGCGTAACTTGTACTAGGCCTTTGCCGTAGGCCAATGGCCGAACTCAAGTGAGCATCATAAGCCTGGCGTTGTGTCCCTGCGGTGTGGAAGATTCAGGGTATCGATTCGCGGAGCCTTCAACTTCTTCCCTGTCATCTTTGGAAAAATCACTTATCCCCCATATGGGTGGTTGTCAAAATTATGGTTCCTTTTTAGGTCCTTAATGTAATACGGCACCCAATGTTTAGGGTACCCAAAAAGGGACCATCACTTTGCCAACTACCCATATCGATCCAAAGTGGTTAGTATGCTAAGGAACCCTGATTCTGAGAACCACCTCAGCTGTATATTGAACCTGAACCCTAAGTCCGAGCCATGGTCTGGTCCTCAGGTGCTTGTGAGCCTCTGGACAATCGTGTGGTCTTTGATCATTTTCCTTCCGCTACTTTGCCTGTGAGTTCAGCGATGCTTGGTCCGGGGGGTGAAAACCCAGGTCCGCTAAAGGATCTGCAAGGCACGGCTCCCCCAAAACCACATCCTATCATGATAAGGGCTAAGATAGGGTTTGTTTTGGGGTCCCTTGCATCTTAGGGTTTCTTTATTGACATCGTTAATGTTTATGGCAGCAGGGTATGAGGGGGTTCGATACTCAGATCCTCTACAACGCCGGCACCCGATCCGACAACCCGGCTACGCAGACGAGTTCAGGGTTAAACGTTAGGGTAGGCGGTCAGGACTTACAGTTTGGGGATTCAGGATTTAGGGTTTTAAGGTCTCAGGTTTGGTGCTGACCTGTTAACCCAACCCTTTTTGAGAGGCTATCTCATTTGGCGTGGTTTGGTTCTTGCCGCACACATAAGGCTTCCGCCGCAAGCCAACAATAATGGCTTGTCTTGGCTACGCTGTGTGCAAGCTTATTGCAGGGTTTGGTAGTGCAGTTTTTAGGGCCCACGCGGCTAGTCCTGCCTCAAGTCGACTGCTGAATTTTCTATTTCTGCAGCACAAAAGAAAACAACCAAGCTTGAGATTTTTTTGCACGAACAAGCCAGAAGCGCAAGCTAATCTTCAATTCTCCCAGGCCGATACATCCTTCAACATCTTCTTAAGCATGCCTCTTCATTTGGTAGAGGCCTTTCATCTCCGCGAAATGTGCTGTAAACCCTAAACCCCGAATCCTAAACCCCAACCCTATCTCGAACTGCTGAGCCTCTCACCTTAAGGTCTGAAACTGAACCCCACGCAAAACATCCCAGCACCCCCCAAAGTGGCCCTAAAGTTTAGGGCTTACAGGTATTTTCAGTTTAGCAGTCTGAGCCCTTCTATAACTCGCTCAGATGATTTCAGGCTGCGCTTCTCCGGCAAGCTGACGGTGTCCGACGAGATCCAGCTACAGGCGCACGTCTTATAAGGGTTTAGAGTTTGGGGTGGCCTAGGGTAAGTAGAGTAGGTAACCTTTAACCTTTTTTCTGGGTAGTATAGTCCCTATATAATCCCTATATACCCAAAAAGGTTAACCTTTAGTTCCCCATGATACCCGACAAGTAGGGATTTAGGGTGGAGGGCTCAGAGCCTACAGGTGCCGGACGCTGACTGTCAAAGGCCAGGCTCGGAAAGGTGCAAAACGGTGCACTCAAGCTTTGGAATTCTGCAGCCCAACCCTTCATCCACAATTTAGGGGCCGGAATATTGGCCGCTCCTTGTTTCAACGTTCGCATATGTATACCACAACATAGGCCGCAAACCCTGTTCTAAGTAATGAGGGCCTTGTCTTGAACCGTAAACTCGTAGAGTGAATTCCAGAAAGTTGATGGGTTGGGGATGTTCAGTGCCGGGAATTCATTTGCTTGACCTTAAGGGTATGAGGATGATCAGACTACAAGCATCTGACAAATTTAAGGACGCGCTACAACCACAGACATGGCTCTTGGGTTAACGGGTTTAGTTCTAGTCGATCAAGCCACTCTGAACGAAAGCCTTAAACCCTAAAATTGGTTAGGCCGAAGCCGCAAACCTTAATTCCGCCCACTACCGGGCTGTTCCAGGGGATGGATTCGGCGAAGCATACGCCCAGTGGCGCATATGCGATGAACATGGATCCTCAGCTGAAGGTTTGTGCTTTGGGCCTTGGTCTGGGGCCTCATAGGGAACATATATATATATATATATATATATATATATATATATTATACACACATACATGCACATGTGTCTATACACACATATTTGTAGGATGCAAAGGCTTAAAGAGCTTTTGGGGCCAGGGTGTCAGGCTTGGAACGTGCAATATGAGGTGAGCAGCGCTGTTTTCTGCAGCCTCAAACGAATAATTAGGCTGGGCATAAAAGGCTTCAAGTCGAAGATTTCAATATTTGGCTTAGAGCTTCTGCTGGGAATATTGCGAGCGATGAGGGTGGGGGTTGAAGGCACTGGTTGAAGGCTTGGGGTCTAGAACATGGACCTCAAGCTAGCCTTTTTTTCCTTCAGGAAGGAAGGACTCAAAATTCTCGGTTTTGGACCAAGTAGCGATGCTATACAAATGTGTTGCCGTTTCCAGCTTTAGGGTTACAGGGCTTGCAGGTTTCAGGGTTGAGGGGGCTGCGGGTGGTACTGCCACACCGATTGATTCAACGATCCTACGATATGTGGCCATTGAATGGATCAGACACGATTGCACATGTGTCCCACATGATGGCGAGATGCCTGTGTTTCACGGTTCCGTTATGTAGAGACTTTTTGGGGTCTGGGCTGCGGGAGTCAGAAACTCCCCACAAAGCCTTAATCCCTGGTACAATGTCCGGAAAATCTACAGCAGTAACTCTATTCCCTTATAGTTCCCGCGTGACCATGCTTGTTGCTATCACAATATACCCCAAAACCCCATTCCAACTAGCAAGGCTCTGAATTATACCCCAAAACTCCAGAGGCCCCATCCCCAGCTCCATGCGCTGAGTGTGTAAGAGGGGGTCCCCTGAAGAGCTGGTAGTCTATTGTTTGCGTCTCTGGGATATGTAATCGTGTTGCCTTTTGTTCCCAGACAAACACCCTATGCCTCCAGGGACCTTATTACGGGGTCCTTAAGGGGTCTAGGGCCCTAACTATGAGGTCCTTGGAGGGATCGGGACAGTCCAACAGTCCCCGGGTTCTTCTGCGTTTGTCGTTTACTCGGCGCCACGTTGCCAGACGCACAGGGCCGACAAGCATAAGAGCACTGTGGTTTTTCCGAAGAAGGATACCTTTTCGGCTTACGACAACAGTGAGATCCTACCCAGAAAAGAGCGCGTATTTGCCTGCGGCTCCAAGGCCACGCCGGAAATCTACACTTCAGAGGTGCTCAGAGTGCTCAGCTACATGCAAGGAACAGAATAGTCATATAAACCCTACACCTCGAACTCCCTAAATCCCAAAACCCCACACTCCCCAAACCCTAGACCATGTACCCCAAGGCGCTGAGGCCCGAAGGAATGCAGACAATTGAATGGGACCTGCTCGGGTCCAGGCCAAAGGTCTTGAGAACAGACGACCTCGGCTTCGAACCTATGGTCCTCTTGTCTTATGATTCTTTCAAGGTTCCCCTTAAGGGTTTCTATAACCCTATGTGCCATGGACCTTTATGTATAGTTTGAGTCAGCCTTTGGTCGACTGAATGGGTAAGGCTTCGGCAGTTTGACATGCCGCTGCAACATGTAGTGACATAGTGTTTGGCTTCGTGTGCACCCGAAATGAGCGCCTTGCCGCAATCTAAAGTTGTCCGGGCCACAGGCCACAACATGACATCTTAACTGAAAAATCTTCTTCGATATATGTACAAGTAGAATAAGCCCCTAATCGATTGAATGGACACGGCCTTAGTCAGGCAGCTTGATCGGTGGGCGTTGCCTTTAGTGAAAAGAAGATAAGAGAATGTAGTGTAGAGAGCAAAGCGAAAGGAACGGAGCATGATTCCTTTATTCAAATTCACGACGCCACCGCCCACAACTCACAGCCAGGCACGAATCACATCAGGAGTTAGTTCACTTGGCTTCCTGGCAGTTAAATTATAAAGCTATGAAGACAATCAGAGAAGTCAAATCATTTGTAGTTTAAGATAAGGAAACCGAATGAAATCATGCTTTGACTGTAAATGTACGGGGCTTTGTGATGAACGAAATAGTGACCAAGAAAACTAACCACAGATCCACCATCCGAGTTCCAGCCGTGAAACAAGTCCAAGTCAACACAATGAAGTCAGTCTTTTGTTTAGTTTGTTTTAGTTAATGCAAAGAAGTGAAAATAGAAAGTATGCGCGATTAAGACAAAAACAGACAACATAGGAACGACATCACCCTTTACCAACAGTTATTTGTCTATCTATAATCTTTTCCGTCTTGGAGATGTGGTGATTGTGGAATGGAATGAAATGAGAGCGTGTTTGTTGCTCTCTTCAGTTCACGCACCACACATTCTGGAGACTTATATTGTAGGCTTAGATCTCTCTTTAAATGGGATCTTCTAATGATTCTAATGACAATATGACATCGAATCTTCTGACAACTTTTCTCTTGTAGGATCATGTCACGTGGCTGTAATTAAAAGAGCTAGATATAACAGGAAGAAAAGCGTGTTTCCTTACCTTTTATTCACATTAAATTGGGCTCTTTATGAACGAAACAAGGAACCCACAAGATATGAGAATGTTGCGTGTCTCATCTTATTGCAGCAAAGAGAAGCGAATAACGATTGCATGTTCCGTTGATTCAAAAAGATACAACACAATACGAACGGAACCAGAAACCAAGTCATTAATTTCCAAGGTGTCTGACGGTTTGTGTCCTACGATCAAAGCCCAAGTCAACCAACAGAAGTTTTCTGTCCATGAAGAGGCAATTTTGGTTTCATTTGTTTCAATTAAGTAACAGGTAGGTGACAGAAGGACCGCGGTCTTTTTCATTGAACAAAATGTGTTCTTTATTCCCACAAAGCCAAGGTAACGAGTGAAAGGTGGAACAGTAAGAAGGAACGATGTGCCTGCTTAAATGAAACAAAGACAATGAAGCGGAGCAAAAACTTGCTTTATTTCAGTTGAATGCGGCACACGTTTTCATCCTTTGTTTCACCGCACAAGACACACCACAATTAAACCCAACAACAAAATGTCAGCAGGCGATCTCACGGTTTCGTTCATCATTGTTTTGCGTAATTTAAACATAAAGAAGGAACTGATGCATGGTTTATGTCTATTAAGCGAAGCACAAAGAAAACGAAAACATGAGCCGACATGGAGGTGCCATCAGAATCCCTTTATAAGAAATTGGGATTCATGAGCCTATTGTCCCTGGCGAACCACAAATCAAGGGTTAACCGATGATGAGTGAAAGATGAGAAGTGAATGGTGTGCATGGATGAATGACAGAAGGAACGCATGCTTTTCGCTTATTAAAACTAACATCATACATGCACGACTCATGACACAGAAGAATGATCCAGATGAAGCCCTTGTATGCATGGTGCTGGCAAAGCAGGCATTTCCTTGATTTGATTTGTTTTCGCTTTAGTTCAAGAAAGCCCACCAAGTCTCAACAAAGGACACATCACAAGATAGGAAATTTCATGAAGAGATCGAGTTAGATGAAAGAAGTCTTTCACCATTAACATCCTCAATTCCCTGTGATATAACCCTATCATTAGTTTCCTGGTCATTCTGTTCTCGCAAGAAATGACATGAAGGGTGTGAAAAGAACCGTGCGTTCCGTGCGCTTATTCCTCTCCCTTGCATGTCATATCTTGGTCTAACCGTTCATTCTGTTCCTTCTTTCGTTCCTTTCTTGTTCGGGTCAGTACCGTCGAAAGGAATGGAAGCGTGAATGAGCCAAGCACAAAAGGAACGAAAACAGGAACTGAACGGAAACAGCAATCGTAGTTGTAGGAAAGGAAAAAGGATGTAAGCCTAAAATATGTTAGCTTTGATTTCTGCTTATTTACCTTCATTATTTTCACTTTCTACTTTGCCTTTTATGACCTTCATGCTGTCTCCTCTTTGATTACATTACCAGCACATAAAACAGAAAAGGGAAAGATAATTAGAATGAAGAGCCGGGAAGATAATTAGACTGAAGAATCCAATACTTGTTTTTCCTTTGTGCTTTAATATGAAACGAAATGAATGAAGCGTAAGAGACGCACGGCTTGCACTTCGTTTCATAATTGCAGACAACGAAATGAAACAAGAGCCACAAAACCCAGCTTTAAATGAATTAAACCATGCCTTCGTTTCTCTATGTTACCTTCAATTCAATTACATTGGCTCTTTTGGGTTCCGTTCATTCTTCACTCCATTTTATCATAATAAGAGAATAACAAAGTGAGGCGAATGAAGAAACACAAACGAAGTGTATGTTTTGATCATCTCGCTTGGCCTTGCTACGAATGTAATCAGGCACAAGGTTGACCGTGGACTCGCGAGTCATTCTCTGAGTTTAACCGCCAGTCACGGTACATCCAACATTCCGTTTTCCTCACATCTTTTTCCAAGCTCACTGCCAAGCATGGATCCCACAAGCTTTAATTAAACCTAATGCGACAATATGGCAATGAAATGTAAGCGCGCCTTTTGTTGTGTTGGTTTTCATTTGCTCTTTCGGGTTGTGCATTTCATTGTAAAGGGAAAAGTTGCAAGAAAACACCAACAAGACCCAAACTAGCATAATGAAACGAAGCAAAAGGCGCGCATCCTTTACCATTCTGTTCCTTGCATTACACTAGTTTGTCCTTTTGGGGTTCGCTTCGCTCCACATCCTACATTGACTGGCTTTCCTGTAATCAAAGGTGGTGTAGTTTAAAGTGAACGAAGACAATGTAGCATAAGAGAAAGCGTGCTTCGTTCATCGTGAAACGCACCACGGGGTGAACGAGACAAACGAATCAAACTCTCATGTACTGAAACAGAGGAAAACGTGCGTTCCTTACATTCTCTTCATTTCGTTAGTTTAGCATGGGTATTTTGGTTCCCTTCACTTCCCACCTTACACTAAAATGGGTATTTTGGTTCCCTTCACTTCCCACCTTACACTAAAATGAGTTTATAATGCTGGAAGTACAACTGGAATCTAATGGCATCTTTATAGGTAATCTATAGTGGTATCTTCTAAGTTTATATGAATGAAGACAGACGCAAAAGAGCCAGATTTAGTCAATGAAAGATCAACTCGCGCATGCTTACTTTTTGTAATCAGGGCTTTTGCAGTCAACGGTCCAATTCCTGGCGTGTTACTCGTTGAGACCGTGTTTCGTTCATGCGTTCGTTCACTTGTTTCTCCCTGACACTTCGTTCCTTGAAAATCAGGAACGAACTCATTCACTTCATCTCACCCTTCACTCAGAATTGTTTCCCTGTTGTTTCATGCGCTAAACGATAATGAGGTGAATGCAAAAGAGCGAACGCACGCTTTCTGGAGATCTGGAACTCGTTTCAAAACCTCTGTGAGTTTGGTCTCTGGGAATCTGGAATTCTTTTTAAATTTTTTAAATTTTTAGAATTTTTGAAATTTTTAAAATTTTGAAAAATTTGGCCTTTGGGGGTCTGGAATTCTTTTTAAATTTTTTGAATTTTTAAAATTGTTAAAATTTTTGAAATTTTTAAAATTTTTAAAAATTTGGCCTTTGGGGGTCTGGAATTCTTTTTAAATTTTTAAAATTTTTAAAATTTTTAAAATTTTTGAAATTTTTAAAATTTTTAAAAATTTGGCCTTTGGGGGTCTGGAATTCTTTTCTGGAATTCTTTTTATTTTTAAAATTTTTAAAATTTTTGAAATTTTTAAAATTTTTAAAAATTTGGCCTTTGGGTATCTGGAATTCTTTTTAAATTTTTAAAATTTTGAAAATTTTTAAAATTTTTGAAATTTTTAAAATTTTTAAAAATTTGGCCTTTGGGGGTCTGGAATTCTTTTTAAATTGTTAAAATTTTTAAAATTTTTGAAATTTTTAAAATTTTTAAAAATTTGGCCTTTGGGTATCTGGAATTCTTTTTAAATTTTTAAAATTTTGAAAATTTTTAAAATTTTTGAAATTTTTAAAATTTTTAAAAATTTGGCCTTTGGGGGTCTGGAATTCTTTTTAAATTTTTAAAATTTTAAAAATTTCAAAAATTTTAAAAATTTTAAAAGTTTTAAAAATTCAAAAAGAATTCCAGACCCCCAAAGGCCAAATTTTTAAAAATTGTAAAAATTTTCAAAAATTTTAAAAATTTTAAAAATTTAAAAAGAATTCCAGACCCCCAAAGGCCAAATTTTTAAAAAATTTAAAAATTTCAAAAATTTTAAAAATTTTAAAAGAATTCCAGACCCCCAAAGGCCAAACTTTTAAAAATTTTAAAAATTTCAAAAATTTTAAAAATTTTAAAAATTTAAAAAGAATTCCAGACCCCCAAAGGCCAAATTTTTAAAAATTTTAAAAATTTCAAAAATTTTAAAAATTTTAAAAATTTTAAAAATTTAAAAAGAATTCCAGACCCCCAAAGGCCAAATTTTTAAAAATTTTAAAAATTTCAATAATTTTCAAAATTTTAAAAATTTAAAAAGAATTCCAGACCCCCAAAGGCCAAATTTTTAAAAATTTTAAAAATTTCAAAAATTTCAACAATTTTAAAAATTTAAAAGAATTCCAGACCCCCAGAGACCAAACTCACACTGCCCACAGAGCCTGCCCTTTAACTGCTCATACTAGAAGAAGCAGTTACTCAAATAGCGCAGAGAGGTCCTACGCACATAACCCTATGCCTCCAGGGACCTTATTATGGGGTCCTTAAGGGGTCTAGGGCCCTAACTATGAGGTCTTTGGAGGGATATGTGGGTAAGGGTTCATTAGTACTCTTCCTTAGGATTCCCTCAATGACGACATCATTATGTGCACCAAGAGCCCTATTCTAACTGCTAACGCCCCCAGATTACGCTCAAAGTATACGTTCCCCTGAGATGGCAGGGGAGCCTGAAATTGGGCTCGTTGCAGGCGACTAACCCTTTAACGGGGCTGATGTAGAAGCCTTACTGATTAGAACGGGGTTTCCGGGCGTATTATGATCACGTTGTTGTACGAACTACAATTAAGGCCTCACTATGGGGGATTTTAAGCCTCATGCAGACACTCAGCCCTCATCAGCCAGCTTTGATGAACCACACTACATGCAGACCCATTTGAACAAAGCGATTCCGTCAAGAAGGTCATGCTTTAATCAATCCACCTGTTCATGTCCTCCAAAACTAGCTTCAGTGAAACATCTACGGTTTATGGTTTAGGGTTTCGCTCAGAAGACTGAGTCTTGCAATCGGCCGCTCGCGACCACCACCTCAACGTGAAGAGTGTCTGGGTGACTTTTTGGAGCACGGCTGATTCGGCTCCGGGTTCATGCTGCAGGGATGCCCAGGCAAGGCCGGATCCTACCCAGCAGCCCACCCGAAGAGCTTCTGGATGCGCAAGGCTGCCGCAAAGGTCCACTGGACGAAAGGAAGGTCGACCGCGCATCGGGCTTTGTGACGATAATTTCGGGGCCTTTATTATACCATTTTTGGAGTTCCTTCTTTTGGTAACTATAGTATAATGGGCCCCAATGTCCTATTCCAATTATTAAGACCCCTATATTAGTCACCCCTGTTGGAATCCTCGGCGTTTTCTGGGAGGTAGCCACGACGCTGTCCTGGCGTTTTCTGGGAGGTAGCCACGAAGCTGTCCTGCATAAAGCTGCGTCGCTGAAATTTTCGCAACTCAGCAGTCGTAGCCCGGTCCGAAGCATAAACCCTAATTAAGACGAACTCCATGAATAAGGCCCCGACACCCTCGACTTGAATACGGACCGCGTGACAAGACGCAAGACGTCAACTCGTAGCCAGTACACATCCAACCCTTTCATCTTCGAGAGGGGCTTAATTCGATCTCTTGAGCCTACAAAACGAGACTCACACCCTTTCTCTAGGCGAGCTGACAGCCTCAGCTAGACGCCAAGCCTCTGAACCCCTAAACCGCCTACACCTCTTAAGCCCTACACGCTATAAATCCTTAAACCCTACCTTAACCCCAAGTAACCTACCTTTTTAAGGACTTACATAAAGAAATCATCTTCGGGAACCTGAAAAGGCAGGTTCCTTAGGGTCCAGGTAAACCCGACTCCGAAAACAGCGGAAGCGCTTTCTCTTCGCAGGTGACCCCGATCGAGAAACTCGAACACCTGCAATAGGGTGCCACCATCCAAAGGTCGGGGGCCTAAAGCGAAGGTCTAGCGCTTCATACGTGGCAGTTTCCGAAAATAGGGGTACCTTATTTAGGGGTCCTTATAATAAGGATCCTACTACTTGGGGTACTATATTAGGGCCCCCCAGGTCCCAACAAGCTCCCAGTCGAAACCTATCCCGTTGTCGCGATATTCCGCGACAACAAAGCAATGTCTAGGTACCCTTGGTGGTCTCCGCAGAACAGGGGTACTTTGAGGTAAACGGTCTCTACAAGGGTTTCATACATGTTCCGCTTGACCCGGTCTTGGGTTTGTTCGACATTCGGCTTCGGGTTCAAGCGTTTAGTGTTTATAGTGGGAGGTGGGTTTTGGCACATTTGTATACACGACACATGGCGTTAGAGATTCAATAGGTGTGCATGGCTTGTAGGGGGCTCTATCGGGTTTGATAAGGGCCTAAGGGTTTTCAATAGGCATTTCAGAACATTGATAAAGAATAGGCAGATCGGCGGAGGTCCAAGCCCTGTCTGTTGTCCTCATGATCAGGATGCTGCTATTTCTCTACATCAGGGTCCCCCAGTCTCTGAAAGTCCCAACATCTCAGACCCTGAGCACCCAAACCCCAAACCTGTGAAGTCTAGGGTTAAAGAGTTTAGAGGTGAAGCTCACGTTTTGTCTCAGCTGATCAGTAGTCCTGACTATATATCACGCAAGCAGGATGAGATGGCAGACTTGCGCATGCAACTTGGCAGACTTTGGCGTCTAGAAGCCTTCCCATACCGCAACCGGCAGCGGAAAACCTGGCAGCCACATCATCGAAAGCAGAGCCGGAAACGGACAACCCTGGACCCGCCAGAAACGGAAGACACGGTGTGGTTTCCACTGTTTCTCCGGTTCTCTGGCACTTTCCTTTGGTGGGCTTTGGGATCCGGAACTCGGAAGAACGGAAAGCACACTGTGTGTTCCACGTGTTTCCTTTTGCGGGGGGTGCCGGGTGTTTCGTTTCCGGTTCCGTTTTGGTTTTGTGCTGGTGCCGCACTTTTCCGTTTGGGGGCATCATCATAATAAGGATTCGGGTTATATTCTCCTCATAACTACATGTATTATGCAGCCCTAAGGAAGAATGCTACTGGTTTTTGCAGCTTCTATTTCATGCCAGAAGTGCATGATAGTGCTGGTCGTGAAGTTCTGATCCACCACAAGACCCCGGGGCCCTTTTTGACCCTTCCGTGGTCTTAGGTTTCATAGAAAACGACCCGATACCAATAAAGGAGTCCAGTTATTCCTAACTCAGGATCCTCATTAGCATCCTCAAGTCCTGGATCCTGAACCCCAGGTCCTATATGGCCTAAACCCCTTTGCGGTGTACGCTTTGCAGATCAGCTGCGGTGAATCATGCCCGCAACCAGCAATAGCCCTCGACGTCCGCATTGGATTGATCCCAAGGAACGCGACTCCAGAGTAGTACCTGAACCCAATAAAGCCTAAACCCAATTAAAGCCCCAATCGTCCTATAAGTACATGGCGGCAAGGCATCAAAATGAGCTGCAGCGGTGTTTTGGCCGCTGGCGCGAGGCTAGAATCATAAAACTGAGGGTTTAGGGTTATGAGGTTTGCGGCTTACGCTTTGGGGCCTAGGATTTCAGGATCCAGGCTTAGAGTCTCGGGACTTCTCACTTGTATCTTAGAAGGGGCCCCCACCCTGTAATAGTGGTATAATAGGATTATAAAAGGGCCCTAATATAATCCTTCCAGTCTCTTATAGTCACTATTACAGGGTGGGGGCAGCTTCTAACTTATATCTACAGCCTTCTGCTTCTAGGGCTCTCTCCCATGCTTCAGGTCGGAATGCCCCCATAACCCCCCACTTGCCAGTGTGGTCCCTATTCTGGTTGACCAGCTTCACCAGTACGATCCGAGAATAAAGATACAAGGTGCCCAAGAAAATGAATTACAAATTGGCCAAGCTTAAAAGACATGGAAACTCCAAACCATAGACAATGACAGGGCTGGCTGCCGACATTCCGAAACTTAAACCCACAAAAGTAGGCAATCAGATTGGCCCCGCACCTACACACGGCCATTATTCTACATGCTTTGAAAGGCTTGAGCTGAAGGCCAGATGCTCCTGGACTCCGAACCCCTGAGTACATGAACAGGCCATTCATAGACTCTTATCATGGTGTTGTATGTACATTACAGTTGCAAAAGGCTGATAAGTAACCCGATCCGCCAAGTGCCCCCACTTGGCTCCGCCCTATAGTTCCTGAAAGACTGAGGGTGTTGCTTACCTGCTGAGACGAGTAAGCAGTCGTTGGAGCCTAAGGTTCAGGGTTTAGAGCCTTGGGCTCCGCAATCCTACTATAGGAGCTTGGATAATTACCTATACTAGTTTGGGGTTCCTTAGTATACATATAGTATTCTTCAGGCCCCTATATTAGCAGTTTTCAGGTCCAGGCTCCGCAAGGAGGCTTTTGGTTTCTAGGGTTTTGGGTTTAGGGCCTCGGGACAGTTTGCAGATATGTCGCCCCTGTTCGTAGCCGTACTGAGATGCATCACGGCCTTACCTTCTTGTTGGGCCTATCCTTTAGATGCTTTACCAGCTAGGAACTCCGCAGCCGAAGCACTGATAAACGAGAGCTTCTGGGTTTGAGGATTGCGATAGAGGGGTCGGAACAATTACCAATACAATTGCTTCGTTCCTTTTTTAGCAGTGCCTGAATTTTCCTCAGAACCATGGTCATCCTGGTCTGTAAAGTATGAGCAGCTGAAGCTCGTCCTTTAAGGTAGTATCCTTATTCAAGGGGCATTTGGCTATCTGGGTAGCTCTAAAGCATTCAGCCACCAGTGTCTAAGACCATGCCTGAAGCTTTGCAATATTCTGGTATCACCTTCTGCGACAGCGCCCTCGCCAATTTCGAAGAACCTCCTGCAGTGCCGTGTTTTCCCTGGAGCTGTGGAGACATTGCGCCGTCGATTGGCCTTCATTCCCTAGTGCCCACACCTGCCTCCCCGAAGCTTCGAAGACCACATGCAATCGCTACGTTGTACGTATGCTAAGCGTGGAGAGGCACTTACCACGCTTGGCTAGCTTCAATCTGGACCACAGCAGCTTGTAGATCCGAGCATCTAGAGATACGTCGTTGTTTTTCTGAGTGCTGCAAAGTCGGCTTTCCGCGGCTACGTAAGATCGCGCGAAGCTGGGCTATCGCTGGATGGAGTTCAAACCGGGCTTAGGATTTAGGCACTTTCACCTCGGGGCAATACCCACGGCTCTGTCGCGGCAGGTTGGGCGAAGTGCTGGTGAAATGAGCACCAGTATCCCAAGTATGGAGGCGAATATTTACACGCCACGACATGTGTACAAAGTCAAGCTGAACAGAAATTATGTGTAGATACATACATATGCACATATACCTGCCAGTACGCATATACATACGTGCATACATAAGTACATGCATGCATGCATGCATGCATGCATGCATGCATACATGCATACATGCTTACATACATACATGCATACATACACATATATACATACATACATACCTACATACATATACATATACATACATCGACAATCTTACACATACCGGTACATACAGATGCATCTGATACATACACACGCACATACCTATACACCATGTACATACAAAACATACGTATAATGTACATACATGTACATACATACACATACGTACATACATACATGCATACATGCACACAGACAAACTGCCAGACAGACAGGCAGACAGACGGCCAGCCAGGCAGGCAGGCAGGGGACGGGCAGGAATTCATGCATGCATGCATGCATGCATACATACAAACACATATATACGTAATTATATACGTATATGTATGTATGTACCTATATATATATATACATACACATATATACATACATATCTGTATATGTCTATATGAGTTTCGGAGTATATCTCCTGTCACTGACACGATGCTCGACCTACAAGTTGAAAGGTTTATCATCGCCCCGCCCTAAGCTGAAATATTAACACAGTGATGCTGTGAAGGCGAGGCCAGGCGTTGCTCAGTAAAGGTTTGTACCTCATTCGCTTGACTGTTTAAGGGCCCTAGAAGCCCTAGACACCAAAAGTGGAGACCCATCCGGGAGCCATCATTCTTGGGTCTTCGCCTACTGCCGTGCTTACGGGTACTCGCGATGCATGGTGAAGACATGGCGGCGTGAGCTTTCAGGCTCCTGGCGATAGAGTTTAGGGCAGGGGAGAGGGTTTAGGGTTTAGAAGTCAGGGGACTAGCAGAAGCAGGACTATTGGCATCTATCTTAATCAGTATAGCACCAAGTATACCTCGTGAGTTGGTGACAAAGTGATGTAGAACCAGGACAGGCCCAACAGGATATTTGTGGTAACTACACAACTATAGTTTACCTTGTTCGTCAACTTAACCCTGCCTTTAAGATGGGCTTGCGGTGTTCGGTTGAGGAGCACCTCATCAGGAGGCAGTCGCGTCGGAGCTCATTCCTTCATGCACAAGCCTTTTTGGATGACTCCCGAACACTACGACCACCTTCTAGACCGTTAGCATATCGCACAGAAGGATGATGTCCTCAAGAAGTATCAGGAACAAATGCTTTGACCAGCAACGGTGACCATGGTCTTACCCGGTCCTTGGAGTTGTATTTGCAGCTGGAAACTATATGAAGAAAGTTCTCAAGAGATGCTTAGCCTTCAAGGCCGCAAACGCAGGAAAGATTCGGCAACAACTTAGAAAATCTTCGGTGGGAGGAGTCCGATCTAGGGTGAAGAATTGAAGGGGCCAGTTTACGGTACTCATACAGAGAATATCAGACAGCTCCCTAAACCCTAGACCCCTAATCCCTACACCCCGAGACCCTCAACCCCTAAACCCTAAACCCCTAGACCCTAAACCCTAAACCCCTAAACCCTAACCTTAAACCCCTAAACCTTAAACCTGTAGGATGTCGGGCTCGGCGCTCGGTTACATTCAGGGCGGGCTTTGTCCTA